CGAGAAGGACTACATCAGGCTCATCAACAGGGGATATTGTCAATGGATTCGCCAAGTACTTCAGAAGTGTATACTTGGTTTCGGACGAGAATATGCTTCGTGAAAATTCTCATGATTCTGATTTAGATACATTAAACATCCCTGCCTTCTCTAAAATCGATATTATTACTGCTTCAAAAAAATTAAGAAATAAACTCACCGCAGGCGTTGACAATGTTCCTAGTCTTGTGATAAAGGACTGTATCGACGTTCTCTCTATACCTCTAATAGGCATATTCAACTTAATTTCATCAACTTGTGCCTTCCCTGAGCAGTGGAAAACGGCTCGAATTTGTCCGATATTAAAAAAGGCGACTCTAGCGATATCACAAACTACAGGTCAATTTCAATTTTATGTAACTTTTCTAAACTCTTCGAGATATGTGTGCAAAATGTTATTCCTCCTACTTAGCATGGTTTCGTACAACAAAGATCATGTATGACAAATCTTGTATGTTTGAATTAATATCTCTGTACGTACCTGGACAAGCCAAAACAAGTCGATGATGTTTATTTAGACTTTCAAAAAGCCTTCGATCAAATAGACCATTACGTTCTTCTCAGCAAATTGACAAAATTGGGACTCTAACCAACTGCTCACTCTAATTGAATCATATCTAGTTAACAGAAAACAATTCGTTGAATATGAATCTGTCAAGTCGGCCCAGTACATAGTTACATCTGGGGTACCACAAGCTTCTAATCTTGGAACTCTTTCATTTTCAATTTTTAATAATGACTTGGCAACCTCTTTGAATATTCCTAGCCTACTGGGATACTTTGGATTATGTTTCTCAGTAATCACGAAATATATATCATAAAATACAGACAACCCTCTACCCTCTTTATGATTCTAACTTAATTTTTGATTTTCACCACTGAGTAATGCTTGCATCAAAATTTGCCAAGTAGCCGCTAATTGACCTTCTTTCAAAAACTTCTCGATTGAAATTTCATGATTTACATACCCATTGGGTATTAGTTCGGTGCTTGATATTTCTTTGCGAATTTGAACAGTGTCATTTGTAGAATTTATTGTGCGTATGTATTCAATCAACGTATTCAGTGGTATGTTGCTCATATATACCGATGATGATTTCGTTTTATCATTTGGATATGGAAATAAAATGTTTCCGCTGATTTCATATCGCGATTTTCTACGACTCTGAGTTCAGTTAGTCATTAAGCCAACTGAGACACTTAAATTGATGTTCAATTTCATCAGTCAGCTTCTCAACTGCCTGTATAAGTAGGTCCTGTGGTATTTTATTTGAAGGCCTACCTACTGGATTTGAAGAATTTCTTGGTAGTCTAAGTTTGAAAATGTCCTTATAGGATGAAACTGCAGTTAACGTTAGTTACAAATAATAGTGGAAAAATATAGAAAGTTTCATTTCCGTAAAATGAAGTCAATAGAAACAGTTTTCGACTTTTCAGACTCTATAGCTGAGTTAGTATGTAAAAGAAAAAAATTGGAAAATGCGTGTCATTGCTGATATGAGAGAAGGCCTTACCATCGTCCATAGATATTCTAATAAGTCTGGTAACTCCTTTGATGTGGGTAAAATATGCCGCTTTTTTTGCGAGCGGTCGTAAATCATGCGGCTACCAGCAGAAATACGTTATACGAGGGTCAGTCAGCAGCGCGAACAATATGTTTACTCGAAAGTGTGTCTACGAGGGTCAGGCGTCAAGTGTTGATCATATTCATTATATATTATGTATTTATGTTTTTGTATGATCTTTCATTGAGATGATTATATAATATGAGATTCTAATAACAATAAATTGAGGAATATTTCGTTGTAATAACTGGCATGAATTATCTGATTTCTTAAATTATGGGCAGGTAAAAAGGTTGAGATACTTATAAAGGGACTCCACAATAAAGAGAAAATGAAGATGAATAATCTTTATTTACATATTACCTAATTAAATGGTGATTTGTTGTTTTCTTGAGTATACCCTGATAGTATAATTATAATCTATTCAGTATTTTGGCATATATATTTAGACACATTTCAAATATTTAGCTGGGGGTTGGTTGGAGTTAGGTCGAATAACTGAAACTACTATTATTTCGTTGCCGACGTTTCGACTTTTATAAAGTCATCTTCAGGGCACTACAAAGTTACAGTAAATCAGATATAAATACACACAAGGTAAAAAAATATTGAAATTTGCGACAAGAATCACTTCTGCGAATGAGAGGTCNTTAATGTTTCAAACCTAGATAATTGCCCTTTGACCGTAGCCCTTCTTTTCTGCAATCTATTCAATTCATTTTGCAATTGTTCCCCATCACCCTTTACCTCTGATAACGACATTGGTAAATTAGATATGAATAATTATTTATAATCAAATATTTATGTATTCGTATTGAAACCTGAAATGTGTTACCCTGTATGGTTTTACCTCAAAAAACTATAAATAGCTGTTGTATCTAATTATTTTTATTTAAAATGCCCTAATAATATTGTTAAATAATCGTAATTTCTCTCAATTGCGCTTATAACAAGCCCAACACAGCAAGAACACAGAAAGTCAGGTAAGGAAATGTATGTAATTGTTAGAAAATCGAGGTACTTACGATTTTGCGATGTATTTGCTCATGTATGTATGAAATTTCTTTTCTTCCAATTAATATGACTAGTCTAACCACGCTCTGCTACCATGTTTGGGATGTTTCCCTGGATTTTAAACACAATTACTTGTAACGTGTTTATTCTACTAAAAATGAATCGCACAAAATACAATGCTTAAATTGCCATAAAAACAAAATTATTTTTTGGTATGCATCGATGTTGTTTTGCCCTGGAATTGTCTCGTACTGGCGCTCGCTCTTCACTAGTAGAGATGGGCTTATCGATACGATATATCGATAAGGTATCGATAAACATTTTGAACATCGAATATCGATACAAAAAGTAATATCGATAAGAATATTTCATCATTATACATAAATACAAATTAATATGTACTAGATAGGTACTAATTCCAAAGATTGAAAGTTGATTATTTACAAACAGGTATTGTCGTTTATTTGTACCTAAATAAATTGTTGATCAACGCAAGCTAATAAGACAACAAGTAGGTCTTTCGCGACTCGAAGTAGTGAACTAACGAACTAAAAGATCGAACTAGTTCGTTTAAGAGCTGCGAACTAAAATGAACGCTCCCGCCAGTGCTGCTCCAAGGCAAAAAAAAATTGTACGAAAATGACAGATGAAAATGTATAATTTTCGTTATAATTGTATAGCATCAATGGTCGCCAACACTGTCATCAGAAAAATTGACAAGTGACAGCTACCCGCACATTGCAAAGATGAAATGAAGCGATTAGCGCATGCGCAGACACTCCATCGTTTGTTAAATGTGAATGTTTTGAAGTGGTTATTACAAATATATTGATTTGATTACTATTTGCATTAATATTATTTGGAAATTCTGCATTCACTAATCTAGTTTTAGCTTATATTATGTATCAAATCAAATGACAACACAAAGATTCCTAAAACAAAAATCAAGAGGGGTGAGGTGAACTACCAATTACCATTCATGAATATTTATTTAACATTAGTCTTTTCTCTTTCCTTACTGTGGATTTATTTTTCTTTTAGCGTCAGCGGTTTTCGATAGAATTGACATTTGACTGATCTGAAAATTAAGTGCTCTGTGATCGTGATCTATGATTTCTATGACAGACGGACACGCGGGACACGCCTATCATAATGAGACGGAAGACAGAGATAGACAAATTACTCGACTATCGAAGGACGAAGTGATTGAAATTCGTAAA